GGGAAATGGACAAGTGGAGAATGCTAACCGGACGATATTGGAAGGTCTGAAAAAGAAGTTACACTCGGCCGGTCGTAGTTGGGCCGATGAGTTGCCATATGTTTTGTGGACTTATCGGACGACCCCGAGGGAGGCTACTTTGGAGACCCCTTTCGCCCTGGTTTACGGAGCCGAGGCCCGACTTCCGATCGAGGCCTGGATTTCGACCGATCGAGAGAGAACCTATAACGCGGAAGAGAACGAGCACGCGATGGCCGTGGACCTTGATGGGATCGACGAAAAAAGGGAGCTAGCCGCTCGACGCATAGCCGAGTATCAAAAGCGCGTCAAGAGTTCTAAAGTTGTTCGGGTTAACCCTCGTTATTTTCAAGTCGGAGACTACGTTCTACGACGAAGGGAGGCCAGCCAACCTCTAGAGGGCGGAAAGCTAGCTCAGAACTGGGAAGGGCCGTACATCATCAACGCTGTCATACGGCCGGGTACATACCGACTAGAGACAACGACTGGTTGGCTAATCGAGGGGACTTGGAATTCCGAGCACCTCGTTCTTTTTAGGCATTAGCCTATTTTTTTTTTGTATTTTTAGGCGAAGTGGGGGCTTGACCTGCGAGTTAGTCCCGGTCGTCATTTCTATGTAAATTTATGGTTGTAAAGTTAATTCAACCGCCTGCGAGCGGGAAAGTTTAATGTACATACGATCGATGATTGCCCGACCGTCTGTATGCGGCGGCCCGATCGGTTATTTTCTTTCACCTTCGTTACATGCAGATCAGTTCAACATTCATCAACCGGGCGAAATCTATCGACCGGTCAAAACGCGCTCCACATTGGCGGACACCCAAGTCACGCCACTGATCGGGGAAGCCAGGAGCTCTCAGCATTATTCCCCGATCCGTCCAACTTCTGTCCACTATTGCACCCACTCGTGCCTCGAGCGCACAATAGTGTGGGGGCTGGGATAAGGAAGTATTCGCAGGCCCGTCGCTCGGTTACATCCCGACCGTAGAGGCTTGTTTCCAAAAAATTTTCGACACAGGCCCGGGGATCGGGTACACCCGATCGGTTGGCCAGATTTGACGTCGTAATATCAAACGCACGACCAGGCCATAAGGTCGTAAGGTCGGGCGTCGAGTGGGTCGAACCAGTGCAAGATCAGGCCACAAGGCCGCGAGGTCGAGCATTAAGGATCAGCACTTACGCGATTAAAGATAAAAATGCGAAAAGAAAGAACGAGCGATGCAAGATGGAACAAAAAATAAATTTTATTAACAAACAAAAGTTGCCCGGTACAATTCGGGACCGGGCTCCCGATTGATGGTCCGTTAACAAAAAAGAAGAAGAAGAAAGGAGCCTATTCTACTTCTTCGTCTCCCGAGCTCCGGCAGCCGGTTCTTTTCCGCTCGGGGTGGCCGCCGTTGATGCCCCAGCTTCAGACGCCTTGGCTTTTGGGGCGAAGGGAGAAGGACCGGGATCGGCGAGGTCCGGGGGTAATACTGAGAGGACCAGCTGAAGGTCTTCCCCGTCTAGGGCCTGCTCCAACCGGGAACGGACTCGTTCGAGCATCTTCCGTTTCCCGGCCGTAAAGCCCCAGCGACCGAATGAGACGATCAGCTCTTCCCCGATCTGTGTTCCCCGGGCTGCTGTAAGGAAGGCCGAGCCCGAGTCCTTGTCTTTGAAGGCCGCCCGCGCCAGCTCGCTCGGATTCTCGAGCTGAGCCTTCAGCTCCTTGGCCTCTCCGATCGCCCGGCTGGCGACCTTCTCGGCAAGAACCCGCTCCTCGTCGCCCTTCTTCAGGGCCTTCTGGGTCTTCTCCAGCTCGGCTTGGAGGTCCTTGATCTCCTTCAAGCGACGGACGGCCGTCTTCTTGTGGTGATCAGCTTCCTCGGCCAGCATGGCTCGACCTTGTAGGAGCTGGGCGGCCCGGGAAATCTGCAAAACAAGAAACGTTCGGTTAGCCCGATCGAAAACACTTGGGCAAAGAAAGTATAAGTTGGGAAACTCACCTCAGCCAGGTCGTGGCCGATCCGTTCAGCCACCTGGGTCGGGGTCATCTTCCCCAGATCCACTCGGGCTGGCGCGGCGTTGCCGATCTGTGCCAGCACGAACGTAGACTCCCTCTCTCGCCCAACCGAAGGGCTCGGGCTGTGCTGTTCACGGCGGCGCTTCAGGCTGCCCACCTCGGTCGCGCCCTGGTCGGCGACCTTCTCCTTGCCCCGGGCGACCTCCACCCGGGTGACCAAGACGTCAGGCTGCTCGACGATGAAGCCCTCGCCCGTCGACACGGTCGAGGCACTCAGGGGTCGGGCAGTGGGAATCTCCTTTTCCCCGGCTGCTTTGGTCCTGGCCTTCTTCTTCCCGCCGAGGGAGATCTTCGTGGGCGGGGGAAGGGCGGTGTCTTCATCGCCGAATTCTGCCATGGCTGCAATAAAAGAGCAAAGTTAGTTTGATCAAGAAATGAAGCTAGGTCGGGAGGAACGGCTCGAGTTGAACCTTTCTTCTTTCGTTTCGACGGTTTCGCGACCGTCACGCCCATCGGCACGGGCAGATACTTCTCCGGCAGCTTGTATGTGGGGGGCGGGAGTTGAGCCGCCTCGAGACTTTCAACCGTCCGGAAGATGGTGTATTCGTGCACCTCGCTCGAAATCCGGCTGACCGTGTCCCTCAGCATTTGCGTCTCGACCGGCACCACTTGCTTTCTGAAGTGGCTGCTCCAAGTGCGATCGACCGGGAGGATCCAGGGGTCGTATTTGATGGAGAAAATTCTGTTCTTCCACCCCTTGTTGTTCCCGGGCAGGCCTTTGATGGAGCACATATCTGCTCGGGATTGCAGCATCAGGAACCCACCCCCGTAGCGGCCCGGGAGAACCTTGATCTGGTAGATGAAGTTGAACAACTCCATCGTGCACTCGGCCTCGTGCCGAGTGCATATCTGCGGGAAGCAGGCGAGGATCCGATGTGCGTTCGGGCAGATCTGGGCCGGGACGACCCGGTAATAGGCCAAGAAGGCGTTCAGGAGGGGGGTGAAGGGAATGGCGATCGGGGCCATCAGGGAGTCGTAGTGCATCCCGATCCACTTGCCCCGATGCCTGTCAATCACGTTTCCCAGCTGCCGGCTCGTGTCGAATTCTACCCGACCCCGGAGTATTTCGGCAATCCGAGCCGCTTCGCCTTTGGTCAGCAGGCTCATCTCTTGCTCGACACTCTCGCTGTTCAAGAATTCGAGCTCGACGGCTGGTGTGGCCGGCCCGGCCGGGTCTTCTTCAGTCTGCTCGGGGGTATTTTCTCGATCGCCCCCTCGAGGAGCAGCTTCCGGGTGGTCCCCAACTACCCGGGTAGGCGTTTCCCTAACGCCCTCAATCGGAGAGCCCCGCCCGCTTAGCGTGGTCCTCCCTTCCTCCTCTTCGCTGGAGCTCCCCGATCCGCTGGAGCTAGAGCTCGATGTCCCGGAGGAGCTTGATGCGCTGTTATGCTCGACAGCTCGATCGGGGGCTGGCGTTGCTCGGGGGCTGGCTTCGGGAGTGTAGGACATAATGTCCACTTCCTCATCGCTGATACGCTCGACCTCCTCATCGTAATCCGCGATCGAGGCGTTTTGACTATCCGAGTCCGACATATTTCTACCTAAAGGTCGGTCGGGAGTTAGTACAGGGTTCGGGGAGTTAGCTCGAAGTTAGTGCTATCATACTTCTACGCTAAGTAAAGAGTAAACAAAGAGTAAAGAACTAAGAGCTTACCGAGTGAGGAAACTTTGAGGAAGGTCTGAAGTGTTACTTGGCTTGATCGCCTTGCTGAGATGCTCTGCTCGGGATTCTTAGAGGATACCGACTGAAGCAAAAGAGTGAGGAAAGTTCAAATGAGGGCCTCAAGGGCCTATTTATAGGAGGGCATTTAGGCGGGAAATGGGCCAACTTGCCTGACACGACCCGCGCTGAATCCGAGGCGACGGATGGGATCGCCGAGGCCGGCAGAGGCCGACACGTGGCGTAGGAGGGAATGACAGCTGGCGGGTCGGCTTGGTGGCTGACGGTTGGGCTTCTTCATCCCGTCCCGTTTTTTCCCGACTGATCAAAAAGGCCCGGGCTGGGGGGCTCTTGGTAGGGAATATCTCGACCGACATAGCTCCACCACGACCGAGGAGCCTTTGTCTCTTTCTCCTTGTCTTTGCAGGTAACAGGTCGGGCTCCACAAGAAGAACCCGGTCGTAGACCGACCGGAGTTGCCCGAGCGACGTTGTCGACCACCGAGCGGTAACCCTTCGACGAAAGAGCTGACGAAGGCCACGTGGCGGCTCTTTACATCGACAGGCAGGGCACCCGGGAGAATGACACGTGGTGGCTACGTGGAGGACATGCCGAACGGCTGGAATCCTGTCCCCGGCCTAGTGGTTATAAATACCCACAGTAGCTACAGTGTAAGGGACTTTTGGACGATCGATAGGTTGTTGTTAGAGAATCCCGACCGCAGTCAGTCGGTACTCAGAGCAGCCAAGTAGATTGTACTCAGGGCCTTTACCGGGATCAATAAAGATTTTGCTTGCTTTAATTGGTCTCGTGTTATTTTATATTGCTTACGTAGAATTAGCAGTATCAAAACCTAAGTCTCTGCAGATTTTTTTATTTTTATTTTTATCTTCTTATATGGGTGACTGGTTTTTTTCTTCTTATTTTTCCTTTCATTGCTACTCAATGAAGTAGGTTACATGGTAAAAAAATAAATCTATTTATTACTCCGTATATTTTACTTGTCCTAAACTCAATCTTTTATATTTTATTTGCTTTTTACTATTTATTGATTAAACAAACTTTTTTTTTGTAATTTTATATTTTATTTTTTTTATGTAATACTCCGTAGTAATTTTAATATAAATTGTATGTATTAATATTAAAATAAATATTAAAAAATTGAATTGTAAATATTTTGAGTGAAGTATGTTAGGATTGTTAGCTGAATTTTTTTAGAAAATATTTTTTGTTACCAAGTGGATCTAAAAAAAAAATAAAAATGAAAGTAATTTTAGCCCAGTAGCCCGGCGGCCGGCGGACGGGCCATGTAGTAGCTCATTTTCGTTTGTTCTTCGTACCCACATCGAGGCTATGACTCCACGAGGTCCAAAGCCCTAGAGGTTAGACAACGTGACTAAACTGTTTTAATCGCTTCCGGTAGAGTGTTGTGTAGTTGGGAAGATGTCGTCGTCAAGTTCTTCATCGCAGACCGGAAAACTGATGCCGCATCTGGATGCGCGGAGCACGAAGATGCTCAATCTCACTGTTCTGCAGAGGATCGATCCTTGTATTGAAGAGATCTTAATCACCGCCGCTCACGTCACCTTCTATGCGTTCAACGTCGATCTCAATCAGTGGGTCCGTTCTCAATCCCTTCTCGCTTCTTTCCCTCTCTGTTTGTCTTTTCCAGTTCTATTGCTGTGCAGTTTTTTCAGATTGAATTAAATTACTACGCTTAGTGTTTCAATTCCTGAGAAACCTGTCGTGGGAGCGGCCGATGAACTTACTTTGAGCTATTCTGTAATTATTTGAATACGCACGCATATGATGCTTCGTTAATGCGTGTTATCAATTGCGTTAGGATCGATATTGTTGGTTGAGGTTGAAATTTGTGCAAATTAAGCTTGACCTGATTCATTGAGCTCGTGTGTCAGTGTGTGTTACATACATTCTTATTATTTGTAAGGCATGGATATCTTAACATCTGATATGCAAATATTCGATTATGAAGATATCTCTTTCTTTATATTGCTAAAGCAGAGTGTTTGTTTGATTATGTCTCTCTGTGGATAAGGTATCTCTTATATTTGGTGTTTGATTTCAATGCAGAGCCGGAAAGACATAGAAGGGTCACTATTTGTAGTTAAAAGGTATATATGTTTTCATCATATTCATAATTTTACTCTTAATTTGTTGGAGTATGCACATAGGTATCTGCCTGCTCTCTATGGCTGCAGGTTTTCTTTTCTTTTTTTTTTTTTTTTTCCAGTGACCAGTGTGGTAAATTATGATTCTAATGCTATGTTTGGATGGGTAGAAATTTAGGGGAAAAATTTGTTGAAAATACAGTTGAAAAAAAAGGAGAGTAAGGAAAATGTATTAGGACATTTTTGTTTGGATCTGAATAAAGAAAATGAAAGGATAAGGAGAGGGAGAAGAATGAAAAATGGAAGTGGATATTGAGACTTGAGAGGTAGTCCTGTATATGTAGGAATAGAGTGATAATTTTCTCCCCATTCTCTTCCCATTATGTGAATGAAAAATTATTGATAGGATAGAGGTTTGTTTTTCTCCATCATTTTTCCTCGTAACCATTCTCATCCTAACAAGAGAAACTATTATAATTTTCCACCCATTTCCACCCATCTAAACATAGCCTAAGAGTTTGAAGTTTAAATATATGTGCCTTACTGCCTCTTAAAGCATTAATATGGTTTACTTGTTTAGAACCTCATAAGCGGAGAACTGAATTGTTTGGCATCCTATGAGTCTTTTGCATCTGGTTTTGTGAGTACTATTCCATATTGCAATTGGGGAGCTGCTTGTTTTTATTGATTTTGGTTCTATTGATATGGAGAATGGATTACCAAATATTTTGTTGTTATTGTAGAACTACGCAGCCAAGGTTCCGGTTCATTGTTATGAACCGGCGGAATACAGGTTAGGATTCATTATTCTGCTCTCAATTTATGTACCAATTTTTATACTTCTTTTGTTGTAAAGTTTTCTTATTGTGGGTCCCTTAGTTATATGGGATTATAGAGATACTACTTTCCAGAACTTGACATTCCAAGTTTATAACATGATATGGGATTATAAGCGTACTCTCTGTATATCTGACCTGCCACAATATGGTACTCCCTACGTGATCTCTACCTTGTTATTGACAGAGAATCTGGTGCAGGATCTCCTTGGAGATTTTGAGTTTGAAATTCAGGTTCCATATCTATTATATCGTAATGCAGCTCAAGAAGTTAACGGAATTTGGTTTTATAATTCACATGAATGCGAGGAGGTTGCAAACCTATTTAGTAGGTAAACTTCTTATATTGTTATTGCACCCAAAATTGTTCAATTTGCTTATGAAATCTTCATTTGTCATTTTTTTTTCAGTTTCTAGTAAGTTTCTTATTTGAAAATTTTTGTTGATGGATGATTCATTGTGTAAAAACTACTGGTATGTGCACGCATGTCACAAGTTTCACTTTGGAGTTCAAACTTTAAACTAAATGTTCACTTTTTTACTTTTCAAAAATAAATATATCTAAATATTCACTTTAAAAAAAGAAAAATTATAAATTTTCACATTCCCAGTGATTTTCACTTTGGAAGAAGTAACATTTAAATTGTAGTTAACAGGGTGCATGTTTTACGTTGATTGTTGTATGACCTGTATTTCTTAGGGGCATTGATCTTTTTCTTCTTATACTTTATGCATGGATATAAATTACTTATGACTTTAATATTGTACTTCTATGTCCAGAATTCTCTGTGCATACTCAGAAGCATCTCCAAATCGGCAGCTAAGTTCAACCAAAAGGTAAAAAGCAAAATTTTAAAGACAATATCTATTGTACTTCATGACTCTATGTTTGCTTTGACACATACCATGGAGGAAGGGAGCATAAGATGATATTTATGATGGACATGCTTGAGTTGTCAAGATTATTCATTTTGATAAATGGATAATTTGCTCTAGAGCCTCTAGTTATGCATTGAAGCTAGTTTCCAGCTTCTCCCTTTCTACCTATGGAAGCTATGAGCTTTTGCTTACGGTATTCCCTGCTCATTCTGCAAGTGAATATCCCATACAAGCTTCTGTCATGGTATCTGTCGATTTTTTCTTGTCTTATTTCTATCTTCTTTTACAGTGAGTTTGAGGTACTTGAAGCAGCCCCAACCCGTGCAGTTATTGAAGAGCCTTTGGAACCATCATTTCCAATACATTCTCACACTGAAGTTCCTGAAGACTCCTCATTTATGAATTTCTTTAATGTAAGTATTCAATTTCCCATAAAGATTCATATTTCCAGATGATTCACGTGTAGTATTTTCATGCATGTTTAAACTGAAGACAGTTACTGTTGGGTTATAAAGCTGCTAAATGTCCCAACTGTCTAACATCTCAATGTATCTGTTTCTGTATGTGCGTCTACATATATTGCTTCTCATAACATCCCGCAGGTCATATACTATGGTCATGGGTGTTGTTGTATTGCCCCTGCTGCATTACTTTTGAGGGATAAAAGAAAGTCTATGTTACATAGTCTATTGCAAAATTTTAAATTTCTTGATACAGGACAACAATGGGATAATGGTCTTTTTGAAAAAATTCTGCCCTTATTTCTTTTGGATTTCTCAATATATTTTAGCACTTCAAGATAGTTGTCATAGCAAATGCACAGTCCTCACTGCATAGGACACTGGAGTATACCATGCACATGGCACAGGCATATGAGCTCACTCCTATTCTTGTGCATTGGAACTGGTACTGTTATCAATTTATCATATACCCATGGTTGAAAAAATCGCTAGGCGCTCTTCGGGCACCTAGGCGGCGATTAATCGGCACCTAGGCGCCCATGTATTTTTTATGTTTTAGAAATATGTTTATTTTTTTTAAAGTTTTTTTTAAGACTAATAATTATAAATTATTTAATACTTTAATAGTTAATACTAAAATATTAAATATTAACCTAAAAAAGGTCTAGAGTTTGTACAATTTATAGGATTATCTCGCTCAAAACGATGTCGTTTTGAGTGAAATAACCCTTTTTTTAAAAAAAAAAAAAAAAGAACAATAGCTAATCGGCCGATTAGGTCGCTTAGTCGTGCCTAGGAGGCCTAGGCGGTCAGCTGCCTAGTCGGCCGCCTAGACCACCGATTATGGTGATACACTAGGTGGCCGGCCGGCGCTTAGGCGGGATTTTTGCAACACTGCATATACCTAAAAATGTTGCCAAGATGGACAGAGTTTTATATAACTGTAAGAGAAAGGAGATGATTTATTTGAGACTTTTAGATGACATGTAGTCTAATATTGTGTATGTTTTCCCTCTTCAAGACAGATGTACATGCATGCAGGATACAGTAACTACAAAATTTCTTCTTCCAAATTTACTATGCAATTGGTTTTGATTATTAAATTGGTTATTTGGAGGGAAAAGTGGTAGTAACATGAACTTTGGCCTTGTGGCCTCGTGGGACTGATGTTAAACTGCATTATTGCAGGCGGCTACTAGTATTGGATCTAACTCTGCAAATATTACGAATACTAGACAACCGGGTTATTCTTCTGCTCAAACTGTGTATTCAACCTCACATGTTCCTGGCCCCCAATCCTCACCTTCGTCAACTCCCACTCTTCAGTTCTCTGCACTTCGTCCATCAGCTCCATTGATTCCTTCAATGTCTGTTCGTGATGGTTCTGACCCCACCAACAAAGCAAATCAGGTTTCCAGTCTTATCAAGCCCTCTACTTTCTTTACACCTCAATCATCACCTGCATTGCTACTTGCCCCCATCTCGTCATCTATCTCAACACCTGCTGCCCATCCTCCTTTGAATCTACATCGTCCATATGATGCACCAATGCTTCAACACTTTCCACCCCCGTCTCCCACCTCTAACCCTACTCCTAGTAATGCACCACTGGACAGAGAAAAGGTTCGAGATGCACTAATAATGCTGGTTCAGGTATTTCATGTTTCATTTAATTTGCATAGTTGATTTTCCTCCACTGTCCAAATTCTAACTTTATCACACATGTTCTTGCAGGACAATCAGTTTATTGACTTGATCCATCAGGCATTGTCAAAAGTACACAAATCATGACTATATGTTCAAATGTGAATCCCTGTAGACTTGAAGAGTTTGTTTATAAATGTACAATAGGAATGTGTGTATCCCCAAATATTAGGAGAATGCGCATTTCTTTTCACCTCAATTTTCATATGAGAGAGGGAGATTGTGTGTGTTAATCTACAGATTAAAGTCAATGTACAACTGTATATATTGGGATTTTGGGAGTCTATTTCTGCTGCTTTGCTTATACTTTCATCCTGAACTTCGAATGGAACAACATTTTCTAGTCATTTTGCTCAACTGTTTTGTATTGCGTATAAAATTTCAAATATATTTTAACTAAACATTTCTTTAGAACTACACTCCTTGTAGTTCTGTGTATGGACTATGGAGCTCCTAATTATTTTAAAGGGACAATATTATTCGTCTTTTAAAAAAAATAAAAAAATACAATTGTAATAAATATCAAAGTTTATGTTGAACAAATTTGATAACGTGGAGTAAGAAACATTTGTCTTTTGATTATACCATTTTTTGGAATCACGTTTACTCATTAGACTACATTTATCCAATTTTAGTTATTTTGTTTACTTGTTCATTAGTCAAACAAAATTTTCATTCTTTATTTTTAAATTTAAATTTGTGTATTTTATTTGTAAATAGATAAAAATTTGTGTATTAATTCTAAGTTGGGAGTACGTAAAGTATTTTTGAAATATAATTTTGTTTCTAAAAATTGGGAGTACATGATGTATTTTTGAAACATAATTTTGTTTTCAAAATGCCCCTCCCGAAAGAAAGAGTGACTAGGTGATAGGTGATGTAGGACACCCACATTGCCGAATTTTATTATTTATTTTTACTCCTTTTTTAAAAAAATATTTTATAATTATATTATATTTAAAAATATAAATATTATTAATAAATTATTATTTAAAATATAATTTGATAAACTATTATATAATTAATAAATTATTTTTATAAAACCAATACACGTCTATATATGTTTTATGACATATTAACCGCTAATTATAAAAAAAAAAAACTAATTTTATATATCTATTTATCTAACCATTAATCCTTATAATTGAAAGGAATGATATTAACAGAAAATGTTATATGTATTCTTATTATTTATTTCAAACTTTTTTACTCTCACACTCCTTGATGTAATCACTTCTAATGACAGCTACATTAAAAAAAAAAAAAAAAAAGCCTAATTAGTGTTCACCATATCAGAAATAAGAATAGTAAATGCATATTTGATATCCACACGAGTTTAGCTTATTTGTGTAGTAAACAATATTTGGAAGATGAAAAGTAAATACAACGTGAGTATTAAATCCATATAAAATCTAGGTCTGCAGGTCCGGACAGTGATTCAATCAACGACTGAAGCATCGAGAAATCAACAGTTATGTGATGGATCGCATCCCCACGTATATGGATAAAACCCTCCGCGCCACGTCATCACCACGTCCGTACGCAGACTGCTCTTCCTATCCAAAAATAGTTTCACCCCCCGTTCGCGTTACCGCATTAAGGAATTCTTTCTCGCATTTCCCAAAACACCATAGAAGTATTCATTTCTTTTCCTGAGCTTTCCTCTTTCTCACCGATGTCACTCAAGCTGCACCATCAAAGTTTCGTTTCCTCCAGGTCATCGCCTTCAATTTCTCCATAAATTATTTAACATTCTGTGCTTTTTTGTTTGTTTGTTTTTTTTTTTTTCCCGTAATTTCGATTTTGCGCTCTGTTAAACAATGCTCGTATTGTTGCTAGCTATGTCTTTTAATTGTAGCTGAAGCAACTAGATTCTTCTTATTTGCTGGTTAAATAATAATTTACACGCAAATTTTACGGTTCTAATGTGAGTTTTTTTACGAAGATTACTTAACAAGTTCGTTAAAGTATTGATTGGTGGAATTATCAGAGGCTATACTTGGTTTGTGATTCGTAATTTATGCGGTGGAGTTGTTGGATTAGGTTTGCTACGGTGGACTTCCAGTGTTTTGAAAGTTGGAATATGCTGGTGATTGCGCTTTTGCTGTTACACTACTCAAAATTTGCTCCTCAAGTTAGATTGAGAATAAAGATAGTGGTGCTAGATTTTGACTGGAGTAGAAACTTGAAAAAAAAAAAAAGAAGAAGCTGTAATTTGTTGGTGATCTGTTAAAATTATGTAAGACAGAATGCTATTTTCATACCGAAGTTTTTGAATCAATGAATTTATTAAAGAAACTTGAACTAGCTGCTGTAACTCACATAGGTGAACATAAGCAAATTTTAGAGCTGAAACTTGTATTATATTGAAACTTATCAAATATTGCCTTATAAATGCCTGAAGTGGTGCTTTGCTTACTAGTATCTGAAAATTTTCTGCTTCATCATAAGATGATTTTATTCAGCAGTCAGCACGAATTTTAAACCTCAGGAAGAAGTGAAGAACTATGTGAATTATCATCAAGAAAAAGAAATGAAAGAATCAGACAGTGGCAAGGAGCTTTTCGTATATCATGTTTCTATTTAGTTTCATTGATTCTGATGAGCTTGTGGATAATTGTGGATTTATCTGTTTTCTTTTGTTGATATAAAATGTGAAAATGTTATTTTCCCTTTTTATTTTTTTTTTTAACAGATGCTATGCAAGGAAGACAGTCCGTGTCAGGGTTTCTTTGTTACAAAAGGAATACATTGATTTAAGTCACATATTGCCAGATTTTAGGAACCATTGCATAAACCTTCGCAAATCAAGAAAGATAAAACACCTTTTGCCTTTTGCTTCTGCTGAAGATGGGGTTACAGTTAATCAGAGTTCTAAGTCTTGTACTAGCACTGAGATTGAGGAAATGAGAATGAAACTTGATCTATCTCTGCAAAGTGAGGACAATAGTTCTGGACTTTTGCAATCAATCCATGATGCTGCCAGGCTATTTGAGCTTGGAATTAAACAACAGGGATCATTATCAAGAATGCCATGGTTCTCAACTGCCTGGCTAGGTGTAGACAACACTGCTTGGGTGAAGGTGCTATCCTATCAGGTAGGTCATTGCTATTTAACAGGGATTTTACTTTTTCTGACCTGTGTCTTGGGCTGCTTTCTGACTTCCATTCAATAGTGGTGTCCTTAATACCTCCGTTCCAAACAATTAAATCTATTATTATCTAAGCCCGTTTGATCTGCCTACTTTATGAAGTTGCAACCAAGTGAAGTTTGAGTGCATAAACTTTACCTTCCCATCGTGACAATGTAGAATGTAGAGTTGTAGACTACCACCCTTTGGGAATGCTTTTCATTTTGTTTATTTTTTCTTATTGTATTATGATCATTATTGTCTTGGTTGCTATACATACATAAACTTGTTCAGGCATCTGTATACTCTCTACTTCAAGCAGCAAATGATGTCTCATCTCGAGGGGATGGAAGAGACAAAGATATCAATGTTTTCATCCAGCAGAGGTAATTTATACTTATCATAATAACCAAGTCCATCTTTAGTACCATCAGTTTTCTTGTAATGTTCATTTATTTTTAGGCAGCACATTTATGTGCTATATGAATTTGCTATTAGCTCTTTTTTTTTTTTTTTAAAAAAATGAAACTTGAAAACTAGAGAATGATCAAAAGTTTGCATGCCATAATGGCGATCTTAAAATTTCCTTCCAATAAATCATTATGTATGCGGAGTCAAATGCAGGGTTACCCTGCTTTTCAGTTCCACATGACTCGTGTGTAAAACTTTTTAACCACAACCTAGAAAGTCCCTTTGTTTCTGGTGAAGGAGAAGAAGCATTGAATGAGGAATGTCAGAGTACTAGGGTGAAGGAACAGGCAAACTTTTTCTGCATAAACTTTATATCTCAACTTGATAATGAAAAATTACCATGTGCTAGTCCTTTTATTTTACCACTATTAATAGAAGCTGCACTTATTTATATTCTTTTACTGTTTGATTTACTATAAATCATGTAAGCAACCATTTATCAATCCTTCACTAGTAGTTCATGTTTTCTGTCAAGTAAGGTCTGTCAGTCTTCCTGCTTTGTTGTCATTGCTTTTCATCATCCAAAGTTTAACTTTAAACATTACTATTGTATTGATGTAGTGTATTAAAGCAAACTGCTCCCCTGGAGAGTGTAATTAGAGATAAACTATTAGCAAAACAACCTGAAGCGTATGAATGGTTTTGGTCTGAACAAATCCCCACAGTGGTGGCCACCTTCGTTAATTATTTTGAGAGTGATCAGCGCTTTGTTGCTGCAACTGCAGTGTACGTCATTTAATGTACATAACATAATGTAATTTTGTATATACAGATATGCATAAAACACATATTTTTGTTTTCCCTGAATATAATTTTTGTTGTTCCAGGACTGGAATAGGAGGAGTATCTTCTTCTCCTGACAATACTAGTGATGTTACACTTCTCATGCTTGTTTTGAGCTGCATTGCAGCAATTATAAAACTTGGTCCAGCAAAAGTTTCTTGCGTACAATTCTTTTCTATTATTCCTGATACCTTGGGGAGATTGATGGATATGCTTACTGAATATATCCCTATAGAAAAAGCTTATAATTCACTAAAGAATACTGGTTTACATAGAGAATTTCTTGTTCACTTTGGTCCTCGAGCTGCAGTTTGCAATGTGAGAAATGATCAGGAAGGCAATGATGAGGCTGCATTTTGGGTTGGTCTAATCCAGAAGCAACTACGGCAAGCTATAGACCGGGAGAGAATATGGTCCAGACTCACAACGTCTGAAAGTATTGAGGTTAGGCACTTATGCTTAGTCTTGCAACTTTACCTTATATGCTTCAATACTTTTATATTAACAGGCGACTAGTGAAATTTGAGCTTTTAGTTTGACTAAATATTCTGATTTCTGAATATGTACATCTGATTTCATTGGTAGACATCTGCAACCATGAAGTTATACATTTTTATTCTATTGGATATTTCCCTGATGACTTGTGAGCCTATGAAATCATTTATTCTCTTGATCCTTAGGGCATCCTCAATAGTTGGGGATTTTACCCCATATTTTTGTGGGCCCCAACATCCACCTCATCATCCACTATCTCACTCAATCACAAAATCTCTTCTTCCCATTAGTTTGAACTTTTTTCTCAACTTTTTGTAGACCCACCATTTTACTATCCTATATTTTAGTTATTTATTTTTATTATCATTCTAAAAATTTATATTGTAATTATAATTATAAAATTGATGAAATGTTATTGATAATTATAAATTTAATAATAATATTATTGATAATTATGAATTTAATAAATAAAAAAAAAATTTAAAAAATTAATTACACTGTATGTTAAATTAAATGAATTTAGGACAAAAAAAACAATAATATGCCAAACGGATGAAGAAATCTGACATTGTATGTTAAACTAAAAACAACAGCCAGTTTTTAGGAAAAAAAAAAAAACAAATGAAACAAACTGACGAAAGAATAGTCTACAGCGTACTCAGCAGGAGAGAGAAACAAAGGGATGGGTCTGACAAAATCTTCTCATTTGCAGGAGAAAGAAATTTGCGAAATCTCCAACTCCCATTTGTGAAAAGCTAAAGCAAGGAAGTTTTACTGTTCCAAAATCTATGAATAAACCCCCTAATGGGGATGCCCTTAGTGTGCATTTAATCACATGCACATATCATTAGGATCTGTCTTTCTCCGTAGTTTGATTTTCACATCTTAATTGCTATAATGGTGATGTCATAGGTGCTTGAGAGAGATTTGGCTATATTTGGGTTCTTCATTGCTTTGGGGAAAACTACACAATCTTTTCTATCTGCAAATGGGTACGATCTTCTGGATGAGCCTATTGAAGGACTTATCAGGTGAACTATTTAATGTTAGTCCACTATATCTTGATACATTAAGGCAGTCTAATTCCCGGATTTATGTGATTTTTTCATCTCTGTAAAACAGGTACCTAATTGGTGGCAGCATTCTATACTACCCTCAGCTTTCATCAATAAGTTCTTATCAACTGTATGTAGAGGTTAGTATGTTTATGAAAGATCAAATGATTAGGAATAATATTGATGGCAAATAAAGCTAAAAGCTCTAATATGATAGGTTGTGTGTGAAGAGCTAGACTGGCTTCCTTTTTATCCCGGATTTAGCAGTAATACCAAGTGCAAACTTGAGCATAGAAGTAAAGAACTCCCGAATTCTGAAGCTGTACTGCTAGTGTTAGATGTTTGCTGTTACTGGACTCAGAGCTTCATCAGATATAGCAGATGGCTGGAGAACCCTGTCAATGTCAAGGCAGCCAGATACGTTTCAACAATGTAATGAAAACTTTACATTGTTAAAAATAATGAGCTGGATATTGATAAAGAAGAAATTAATAAGTTTCTTCATGTTCAACTTTTCAGGCATGTCAAGATAAAGAAGTGTATGACAGATCTTGGGATAGAGAAGTACGTTTAGTAGATAGACAATGCTCTCTATTTAATAGATATACTGCATATACTATCCGAAATAGAACACGTGGAATTTTTGGCTATAATTTTAGGGAAAGCCATCACTATCCTAATCTTTACATCATTTGATATACAAGTGCTGAGGAATGTGCACAGGAACCATTCTGGAGCTTATTCACGGACTGAGAATGAGCCAAATTCTTTTGACAAGGTATTCATATCCTTGAAATTCAGTAATCTGCACTTCATGATACTTCTGTAATAGATGCTGATGAAGATGTAATGTTCAAAATTCATTTTAGGCGATGGAGAGTGTCGAAGAAGCTCTAATAAGGCTAGAGGGATTGCTTAAGCAGCTGCATATGTCAAGGAACAGTTCTGGAGAGCATTTCAAAGCTGCTTGTTCTGACCTTGAGAAGATAAGAAGACTTAAGAAAGAGGCTGAGTTTCTAGAGGCATCTTTCAGTGCAATGGCTGCTTCTCTTGAGAAGGTATCTGCCCTCAATTGCTTGAATTAAGACGTGTCCTTAACTCCTTATAGTGCCTTATTACTTTAGAAGACCTCGAAAAGCCAAAGCCTTTAAGGCTGTGTTTGGTGTGTTGGACTTGTCTCAATAAAGTCCAGACAGGAATTAGGGGAATGGGATTGAAACTTTTGCTTATTTCCTTTCATTAGAATCAAGGTTGCATTTTGTTACGAAAGTGAAGATAGAGAGTTTCTAATGTGCTGTCATATATTGTCTCAAAATGTCATATAGAAAAGAGAATACAAAGCCCTATAAATAGGTACTAGAAACTACGAATAGGAAACAAGTTTCCATATGTCCTACTTACCTAAAACCCTTAACTGCCTAATATACAGAGATTCTATATATCAAATATATATTCCTTAACACATTTTAATAAGAAGAGGCTCTTTTATTACTAGACATCCACATACCTTGCTAATTGGATATTATGAGACAAAAAGTAGAGCTGCTAATTCCATCCTAGTAATGCAAACAACCAGAATATCCAGGAAAGAAAAACTGCATTTGTAATTAGTGAAGGTAAATAGAAAGAATTATGAAATACTGGGCTGATAATCATCCATTGATAAATGGTTTTGATGGCATTGTGGTGGAGAGGGTAGCGGTGGTTGCATATATTTCCTGTTGTTGGCATGTGTGCGTGTGTTGGGAGAGGGAGAGAGAGAGGGGGGGGGGGGGGGGGTGATGGTACTGGATGCCGATGCTGCTACTGCCTTGTTTTGGTGGTTGGGCTGTAGAATGTGTTACAGACCGGGAGGACTGGGATTGCGTCACTGGCCGACGTACCAGGCTGGAAGGGCGTGCCGGAGGAGGCAAAGATGATGTAGTTCTACCTATGTTTGTAATAATGAGTAGGAACAGAAAAAAGAAGGAAAGCGATGAGTAAAGGAAATCTTTGAAGAATTCTGGAGTTCTTCTTCTTCCCAATGTCATTAGCCAAAAACAATAATCTGATGATCTATAAGCTTGCATGCATCCCCTTAAATACAACTATACAAGGGAGAGGCAACGGTAACATAACATGAAAATAGGAAAATAAAAACAAAGCATAATAATAGGAAAACTTAAAAAGAATTAGTCTATTTTTTCAGCTCTTCTCCTGCGCCTTTGGTAATATTTTCCAGTGAACGTATCAGAATGTGAAAGAGGATTTTGTATGGAATCAGATTGGATGCCAGAATCCAGAATCTCTAGGAATTAGATGCAAGACATTGAAATGGGATTCTGCCACTGCAATTCTGGTGTTCTCAACCTATGGCTTTGTGCCAAAAGTTACAATTTGTGGGTAGTTTTGCTATGCAAATGACAATATTCAAATGGGGGTTGGCATAACTCAGAATTATTTGCAACCATCATATTTGCAACTTGAGCATCATAATTGGAGAAGTCGAAGTCAACCTTTTGACAGAGTTCATCCCTTTGGTTTTGGGAATTTTGCTGTTTTCAACTTATTTGGAAAAATTGCAATTTATAATATAATATAATGCATCCTTTTGTCTTACTTGGATTTTTGTGATGAGCAACTAGGGAGATACCGCTGCACGCTCGTCATCTTTAATAAAAGAGCAACACCAATATTCAAGAGGTGAAGATGACATTAATGCTAATAATAGAGATATGAGCAACAGGCATGTTGAAAATTTTCTTAATTCTACTTTGGAATCCTATCCATGCATGGGGTTCCTACTATTGTGGGCATCACACTAGTTCTTAAATACTATTTCTTGTTATTAAACTATTTTGCCAGGGGACATGGACTATGGAGCTTCTTGGTACGTAGCCAAAATAAAGCCTCCGACAGTTCATCACCAGCTCCCACCGAAAATGTATGCTTATCCTATAGACTGTATAGAGTGTATTATGTTGATTTGAAATATGCCGAAATCAATCCATCAACTGTCAGAAAAAAATGGTGCTGTACACAAGTCTTTAACTCTGGAATTGTTGCAGAATATTTTCTTAAATATTTTGCTATGTGATCTTTAGTAGATTAACTATTCTGACATGGGGAGAGTGATCTTTAAGGAAAATTGTTCCATGAAATGTTAAGATTGAAATAATGACTAGATCAACTGAAAAGATTAAAGATGTTCATAAAGGAGTTAAGTGAGGGTATTGCAGCTTGATGCTTTGAAATTATTGAAATGGTACCTTGCTTTGGTCTGTCTGAGTACTGATGGCTGAGTTGCAAATTTACTTTAATGTGCTTCTGGAGTCTCACTTTGCACAATGTTTTTAAAGAATACTCATTTTCTAAGTTGATTGTAAGTATTTGAATGTAGGATGGTGGAAGGTTTAAAGAAGCAATGGCGGATGCAGGAACAATTGACTCCAAAACGAATGAGGTTCAGCGATTCAAAATATTACGGAGTGAGCTAATGGAACTTGAGAGGCGGGTTAAAAGAAGTGCTGATTGGAATGAAAGTGAAGAGGTATTCTCAAACTCTAATAAAGCAGCTTAGTTAAATATATAGAGATTTGCCTTCTATTCTTTCCATTTCCCCTATTCCTTCTCAATTCTCATAATGCCATTCACTTCTATGCTTTAATATTGGTCTAGCAGTCTACCATACGTGGCTTGTCCATACCAAACACTCTGTAGTAAATTTAAGCTATGTAAAGAATAGGCTCAATCTGATAAAGAATATCAAACTTAGAATGTATTAAAACTACCTTGCTGTGTATCAAAAGTACCATCCAGTTGCATAATGAACATTAAACTGAAAATTCCAAAAAGCTACAGTAACGAGTAACCTGTGAAAGGGTCCGTTCTGTCATGGTTCTGACTTCTGAGTAAAGGTACTGATATATTTGTTTGGCCTAATTGGTTAATTATCCTGCACATCCTTCCCTTTACTTTGTTTTGAGAATATTACTGAATAAATTCTAAATAGTAATAAAGTATGTTAAAAAAAATAATCACATTCCATAGGATGTTCAAAAGGGACATATTTTCTTACACTTCACACTGAAATTGTGGATAGAAAAGGTTTGAACTGTTAGAAGCATAATTGCTCTGGAAGACTAGGGTCTGGGCATGGTTTTTTTTGGTAAACCTACGCATGAATTCACCTTTTATGTCCTGATTATGATGTTTCAATTGCATGCTCAGTGGGCTAAACCTCATAATTTCTCTTTGCTAGCAACAATGTTGTTTATGAGCTTTGTGGTTAAGAAAATGATCAGATTGTTTTATGCATTCAACTTTAGGAGGAAATTCAGATGGCAGCTGAAAGTGTTCAACTTGTTCCTCATCAGAAGAAAGAGAACATTATCGGAAAATCATTGGAGAAACTAAAAGAAACAAGCACGGTAAGAGAATGCAAATCCTTCTCTACTTGGAATATATGTGTGCACGTCATCTCTCAGAATCAATATCCTTATAGAAGTCTGAGAAACACCCAAAACAATGAAACTTGTGCATACTGATTACCTCTCTCAATGTATAACAAAGCTTTGCATTATCAGGATGTTTTGCAAGGCACTCAGCTTCTTGCTATTGATGTTGCTGCAGCTATGGAGCTGCTTAGGAGGGCCATAATAGGGGATGAATTGACAGAAAAAGAGAAACAAGCACTCAGAAGAACTTTAACTGATTTAGCATCTGTCATACCGATTGGTTTTCTTATGCTTCTTCCTGTAAGTATATTATTACATAATCCCCTTCGGCGTGTTGACCAACTTAGAGTTGTCAGTGGTAGTAATTACTTTTTGAGTTGTCAATAAGAGGAAAAAATCTTCTAATTTCGATTTGTAAAGAAAAGGATATTAAAACACCTTTCTACTCTTGAATCAAATGCCCAGTCACTACTTTCTTTGATGTGAACATACAAAATCTGCATATTTTGGAGTTGATGTTTAGATTGAATTCTGTTAAATGGAAAAAATAAAAGACGAATATTTGCATTGAAGCAGTTATTGGCAACTTATTGCAGGGTGTTATATGATAGAATCTTAATATGCACTCTTTCCCCTCTTGAAGCTCAATTAGTGTAAAGCTGACGTGTGGATAAAAATATACTTTTGCAGGTCACTGCAGTTGGGCATGCAGCCATGTTGGCTGCAATACAAAGATATGTACCAGCATTGGTATGTATCTTCTCTCTTGAATCTTCTGTTTGTATATCTTATGAAGCTTAAGCTTTTTTAATCCTTTCTGGCAGATTCCTTCTACATACGGGCCTGAAAGGCTAGCCCTCCTTAGGCAGCTTGAGAAGGTGAAAGAAATGGAAACCGAGGTGAATCCCAATGAGAAGGCCGACGAATAGTCTAACTTAGGAAAACTTTGTATATGCTATTCTTTGATTGGTTGGCAGGTAAGCACCATATTCATTTCAGCATAGTTCTGAATCCTTTTAACAACAGATTGGCATGAAAAAGTTTATTCCAACTGTCTGGCCCTCCAGGTAGGCACCAATGGCTGCAGTGTTATGAAGCATCAGCTATTGTGCCTGTTCCCTGTGGTTTGAAGGGGTGCCGTCTCTCCTGACCTCACACAGATAAGTGGTATTTATACACCAATGACTGTGGTCTGTTTTGGGTGCTGTACTTGTATGACAGTAACCACTTAAAAGTTCCACCTGAAATTTACAATTGTTCACTAACAATGCAATTAATTTTACTTGCCTGTAATGCACTGGGGAGTAGCGGCAAAAAAGGAAGAATCTTGGGCTTCAAATTCTGTGTTACCCAGAAAGCTGATGTAACTTCCATTGTTATGTTCACATCCTCCCCTTCCTGGAAATAAATGCCTCTCAAATACAAAATACAGTACTCCTAATCGAACATTGTTAAATGGGGTATACCTTGTCACAGGAAATTGATATGCAGTTTAGTTGATGTGTTTATGTTTGTTTCATAGTAATCCAATTTGTAATGTTGACCAGCATTGTCACTGAAACACTCCATCTAACCAAGGTTTCATATTCTCACCATGTCTGAGCTATTTTCTTACCTATTGATTGGTTTTGTACTTCATCGTTCCACCAATATCCGGCGCTGAATATAAGAACAAATGATCCAACCCAATTGTCAGCTTACCAGTGGATCCTGTTGAGTCGGAACCACTTTTCAATTTCTTTGGTGCATTTACCTGCAGGATCACCAGGAAGCACATTGGTAAAATTCTCCCCTCAACTCAAGCATTACTGGAGTATTGTTTATGTTTATAATTCAATCTCTTTTTTCATATTTTTATTTGGACACTAGCATAAAAAATCTAATACACCAATAGAGTTGTAACCTTGTCAGTGAAGTTGAATTCTTGAAATCGTAATTGAACTTTTGAGTAAAGTTGAAAGGTCTATTTGATCCTTTTTCCTAATATTTATAAATTGATATATTGCTATTTTTCTTTTATTTTTGCAGTAATCCTCTTTGGTTGGTTTTTAGCTTGGAAGTTAGTGGGCACTTGTCAACTGGGAAAGTTCAAACTGATAAGTTTGAGATTATATCAAGGAACGTAAATCACACATTGTTTAGTTTTTGGATTGGCACATTGTTTAGTTTTTGGGTTGGTTTTTGTTGAGTACATGTAGAGAAGATGAGAGAGGGAAGAAGAAAATGAAAAAAAAAAAAGAGTTTAACAAAAAGTAAAATAATAATAATAATAATAATAATAATAATAATAATAAATTATTGATGTGCCTAACGCGAACCTACAGGCTGTTTAGTAAGTCGTAGGGCGAACTTATTATGCGCTGTTTGGTTGGAGGTAATTATAATTTAATTATAATATAATTCTTTGGCCACTTTAATTATTGTGTTTGGTTGGAGGAAAATGCACCGAATTATAATTCTTTCATTTTGTTAAATTGCAATCCATATGAATTGCAATTCAATGGGAAAAGAAAGTAAGAAAAAGATATTTTTATCCTTGATTATTATTTGTATTGGAGAAAATGATCAAATAAGTCCTTAAATTTTACACATCTACCGGAGAGGGCGACCAGAGAAACGTCGCTTTCCGTCGCCTTCTGGCGGGGAAGGCGACTAACTGGTTGTCTTCTCCGATCGATGCGCGACCGGTGACAGTTTTTTTGCCTGAAGTGAAAATGATCTGTAATCATTTATCGATTCATGAATTTCATTGTCTCAATTTAACATATTTGAGAGTTTAATTACACTTTTAAAAAATTTATGTGCCTAATTAACTTTTGGTATAAAGTTTAAGGGTCTATATAAGTCTATCTGACTTTTTTTCCTTAGTATTGTTATTATACAATGACATTTTAATCTTTAAACAATTTCTTCTCTAAACGACGCCTCCGTTAGTGTTGGCTCATGTTCCACTTGTCCAAGAAATCGTTGCATTGAGATAAAACCCATCAAATCCAAACTTGAAAATTGCTGTCGATTGATTCAATATTGCAACGACATGTAGAGCCGTCAAAACGGTCTTGCAGGGCGGGACGGGCCAAAACACACCAAAGCCCGTCCTCGTAGCGAGACGGGCTAAAAAGCTTGCCTCTTAGTGGGCTTGGAATGTGGTTAGCCCACCAACTAATTTTTTCACTGTGTTCATTATTATTTTTTTTTTAAAAAAAATCATTGTACAATATCCTTAAAAAAAAAAAAATCACTGTATACCGTACACTAACATAGTAACACTACCTAGTATTGTATTCCTATAAATCTATAATCCTATATAAGTTATAACACACTAACACAATTACACAAACCAAAATAACACAAAAAATAATATGTATTAAATACTATATATATATACAAAATATATATGTATTAGCATGTCGCGGCTAAATCCGTGACCCAGGCGGAGCGGGCTAAAAAGCCCGTCTCCTGGCGGATCAAAATTTGAAGAACCCGTCCCCTACCTACGGTGGTACAAGACGGGTCGCCCGACGGGTAAAACCTATTTTTAACGGCTCTAACACATGGATTATGGATGCTCGGAGTTCTGCTTCTCAATGAGTTACTGGTCGCCATCGACGCCATGGATGCAAAAGTTGCAATGTTAGGTCCCAGATTCTTGTAGACGATCTCAGTCTCGATTGCATCTAAAAGGGCTAATAGATTCTAAGATTCTACAATGGCTCCTATATCAGGTTAGAGAGGGTCTAAGATTTTATGAAAAAGCCTGAACGCATTCGACGCAACCCCAAATTAGAACTTCTCCATAGTGAAGTGAGCTGAGATTTCATGCATTGGTGAGCCCCTTCAGCTTCTGTAGATTCTAATAACAACAAACCATTATCAGATACCCTAATGCTTGATCAATTGCCGCAAACACTATTCTTTGCTGTTTGAGTTTTGTACCCTACTTAATTTTGTACCAAGAATTCTTGTTCAACACTAATTTCTTGTTTGCAAAAGGCATGACTTGGCTTGGCCATCACCCTGTGACTTGCTCTGGTATCCACTTGTTAAATCAAGCAATTATCACTATGTCAAAAACTATAGCTAGTTGCATAAGTACAACTTTATTTCCTTACCATCACATTTTCGAAAGGCAGAGTGTTAGACTATATAAGCTCCATAATATCTTGCTATCTTTACAACATAGTATTTGGTTAAATTGCTTAACTTTGGATGCCCACCATAAAGGTGGAACTTTGCTGGTCTCTTATGTTAAAATATAATTTTTTTTAAAGATCTTTTGGATGACAATTGACCATCATAGTACAATGCATATCTGAACCCAAAACAAAAAAAAAAAAAAATGTAAATGTCACAATGGTAAGCCTCATCTTTCTCAAACTTATCCTTGTAACCCAAACACATCTTATGTACACAACCTTAAACCACAAAATAAAGTTTGGAACTTTTGTCATTGACTAGCATAAACATATACATAAATTAAAACAAAAAAGGCGGAAAAAAAAAAAAAAAAAAAAAAACAGTCAGTCAAAAGAGAGTTAATGTTTGCCCTTTGCATTGTGACATAGATGCTTAATAGTAATAGTAAAGGGAAGAACCCTACCTTCCCCTTTGCTTTGAACCACCATAATTATGTATTTATGTGTCATGGGCTCATCATCAATCATGAATTTATGATGATGATTATGATATAATGATGATTAATAAGGATAACCCATCATCAATTCAAACATCTTCACCCACAATCTCTATAGTATACTACTACTCCTATGGCCCATGCTTCTTTTTATTCAGGCCTTGCTGACGTCATCACATCCTATGGTCCCCACCCCCAAAAAAAAAAAATCAATCTTACCCTTTTCAACACTTCACCACCTTTACTTGTGGTTCTATTCTTTCCACCTCAACTATACAGAAAACTCTGGTTGATTGTGAAAGCAGGTCGTCAAATACGACTGTGTTTTTTACCAAACTTTTCTGGGTAGATAAGATCTGCAGAATATCTGGGAAGTGGGAACTTTTCTTTTCATATCTTTTTTATTATATATTTTGTATTTTGTATTTTTTTTTTGTTTGCAGTATTAAAATTCCAAGTGGCCAATTGTAGTCAGTAGAAGATGTCACATCCACAGATCTTATCCCTGCTCAAATCTCATCTGGTTGACATCTCTCGAGAACTTCATCTCCTGTTCCAACCATACAGTGTATATATATAGTTATTTAGATTCAGAATCATAAAGTTGAGGATGCCTCACATACAAATAAACATTAAAATTGAAAAAAAAAAAAGGAAAAACAAAATGGAATTAATAAGTACATATTTGTATATGAAGATGAGGTTGTACACCTATATTTGCTATGACCCATTGGTTAAATTAGTGATGGTGATAGATGTGTCAAAGTTTGCATCGCATTCATGCCAAGTATGGCCATAACTTAGTATGCAGACTGACTTATATGACCAGTCAACACATCATATCAAAGTATATTATTATTATAGTCATTTTCAATCCATGTTAGGCTGATAATAAAGTGAATAGTATGGAGGATTCAATCCATCTAGAAAATGTTATTAGCAGTATTTGGTAAATGGCTGTTACTGATTGAGTTAATTAAATGATATAACAAGTTGATAATATTAATTGAAGAAATGTGTTTAGTAAATTAAATGTTAGCTGATAGTTGTTTGATATAATTTTTTTTCTTAAAAAGTTAATCAAAAAAGTTATTTTGAATAGCTTTATTAATTTTAACATTTTGGAGTTACAAAAACTAATTAACTAAACACTTATATTAATTTTTTAACCAAATCAAACAATTAATAGTAATCAAATAATAAACTAACATTTTACCAAACAGCCCATTGTCAATTTCAAGACTAAAATTCAAATTTTTTATTTAAACATTTTTCTTAGAGTTGGTACGATAAATATAACTTATTACTCGTATTATTTATCAGAATAAAAACGAGCAAGTAGTAATGAGTAAAACTCTATTCAAAAGGTGAGTTATGGTGGTAAGTAGCTTAGCTAGTTGATACAATAAATGTCAAATTTGCCTATATGCCTATTTGTTTGACCACTACTTTAGCAAAATATCTGATGTTTTCATGGTTAATTATTGTATGTTTGTAGTGTTGGCTTGGCTTGCTTCTCATTTTCAATCTGCCCATGCTGTGTCTCCGGACCACACTAAATTGGTCTTCTCTCAAACGATATGTATGATTGACATGAGAAACACGCACCTTAATATTTAATGAAATATGGTAGTACTAATGTTTTCAGCTTTCACACGACTCCCTATCTACTAGCTACTCCCTATGACTTGGAACTTCTATTATTTTATACTCCTAACTGCCCCTAGAGCCATTGCGAGTTAAATCGTCAGTCGCACAATCTCGCTCCTAGAATCACTGTGGAGGTAAATTGTGAGTCGAGCACTCAGTCCATCGCCCAGATTTTAGTTTTCATGTGTACACAATAGATCCAATCTAGACCTTCTAACATTCTTGGGCCTTTTTCCCATATATACATGCTTCAAGTGGTATTTGAATTCTCATATTGTCTTCTTTAATCATGACTTTTAAGTCCGAAAACAAATCAATTATGCTAAACTCCAAGAGGCAAAATTATATTAATTTGATTAGGGAGGAAGACCGCTTATTCTGAAATTTTAGGGTCCGTTTACTAACAGAAAACTGTTTTCAGTTTTCGTTTTCTAATTTTTCAGTTTTCATTTTCTGTTTTCAATTCTCTATTTTCTGTTTAGAAAACTTGTTTACTAACATAAAACTGTTCTCTGTATTCTGTTTTCTAATTTTTTAGTTTTCACCTAAAATTTAGTTTAGATAATATTAATATTTTTGAGCTAATATTTAAAATATTTTTTTGAATATATTCATTTGAATGACATGTATATGAATATATAAATTTTACTTTGAATTCTAATATATGTGAGATTTCAATATCCGATATCTAGACCGAACTTGTATTATGATGTAACATAATTAAAAATATTCGAACTAATAATCTATTGAGTTCAATCAAAATCTAAAACATTATATAGAGTTTAATTCTTAATTTTGATAATGTAAATAATGTATAACTTTAAAGTGTAAGCAAATAAATTATGTTTAAATAAGTAAGGTAAGTAGAAAAGATAGAAGATAGTGATAAGTAAATAAGATGATAATGAATGTAATCATAGTAATGTGGTTATAGTGACATATAACTAAATAGATGATAGATGATTCTGTTTTCTATTTTGAAAACAGTTTTTAAGTGTGTTTCAGTTTTTCAGAAATTTCCAGAAATTATTTTCAGTTTTGAAAATGAAAACTGTGTTAGTAAACATGTTTTCTGTTTTCTATTTTCCGGTTTTCGGAAATTCCCAGAAATTTTCAAATAGTAAACGGCCCCTTAATTTTTGGCCGAACTAGAGATGGAGAGAGACTTCAAAACGAGCCCTACAGGACTAACTCGAGTGATAAACCACCTAACCTAAAATTACCATTTCAACAACGGGATGAGGCAAAAGTGTGGAGACAAGATTCCAAAGTTGAAAGCTCGCTCGGGCCTGCCACGTTGCCATTCCTATGCAAGATTCAAACTTTAGGTGGTGTTTTTGGTAAGGTTTTAATTCCCAAGTGGGGCTAGGTTGAAAAGGAGAGGCTGAATATTATAGGAATTTGGTTGTGGAGTGGGGTTTGGATTTTGAAAGAAGTGACAAATCTTCCAGCAAGTGAACACAATTCCTAAAACTGCTTAGACCATATATATTATTTTCATCACTAATAGATTACTATCTAGTAGTAGCAAACTTGATTGCTTCCACTACGTACTATATACACAAACTACCTTTTACTTGTTCCACTCAACCACGTTACTCTATAACTTGCAAGATTTTTACCTCTTTTATATATCACCTTTTCCATTTCTACCTAACCTAATTCCACTCCCCACACACACAACTTTACAAGTTTGTACACCTTTCTGTCTCGCTAAGGGGAACAATTATGAACCAAATGTGGAAATTAGAGTAGTCAACATCTTTGACTTTGACCCCACACTATTAAGTATGCAGAAAAAAAAATAGTTTCATTTCTTTAATAAATGTTTGAGATAAAAATAAAAATAAATTCATATAGATTATTCCCTACAACTTTTAAAATTAGTCAAAATGAAGCTAATAAAAATGGGGCGTACCATGTGATTGTAGGAAGCATGGGAGTTGGCGTAATACTGGAACGGTTGGTGCTGGCCGGGTTGAGCCGACCGGTCTACTGTGGTTGGCTCCGGTTCACACTCCAAGTTCACCCCAAACAGTCTCACTGATCTCTTTGAATTCCCACTCGAACCAGTTTGTCTTTGCACAACACCTGCTGACGATCCTATAATTAATTATAATAATTAGCCCCCCCCCCCCCCCCCAAAAAAAGGAATATGTTTAACACCCTTAAAATACGAACATGTGGACATATACCGTGCACACACCTAAATGCGGGTGTGCACACATCTGTGGACGACAGTGCACACACCTAAATGTGAGTGTGCACATATTCGTAGTATGTATGTATGAATCCACAGTATTTTGGCCAGTGTAAACACGTCTATGAATGACAGTGCACACAGACGGACACAACACACAAAAATATAAAAACTAATCACAATCTTAGATATCCAAAATTCAACTATCCAGAAATGTCCACACGTTTGTATTTTAAATCTTATTTTTACATGAATGTAATTCTATATATATATATATATATTAAATGTTACTAACTCTATTAGATTGTAATATCTGTTCAAACATACTTTTATAGATATTCTTTCCGGGTACTTGGAGAGTGGATTTCACGCACATCGATGTGCGAGTGTGTGTATAGATATATATTGCTTATGTGTGCATGTGTGTATGAATAATAATTTTTGGAAAAAAAAAAGGGAAAAAGAAAAAAAGATTGGGTTTGTTTTTTTGCGAAGAGAAAATGATACCTGCATGAAGACAGTTAGGTTGGTATGGAATAGCTGCAGGAGTAGCCGGTGGTGGATAAGGATGCCATGTCTGGGCCCACCCACCGCCACCACCAACCGTGCTCGCCTGACCGGCCCCACTATTACTGCCGTCTTGCACCGAACTACTACTTCTCCGCCTCCACCCGATGAAGAGCCGCTCGGCGTCCGCGCGGTGGCGCGCGAACAGCACGGCGTCTCCGGCGTCGAGCCGCTTCTCCTTCACGAAGCGGCTCCAGCCTTTGGTGAGCACGTAGCTTTGGCTGCTGTTCCAGTACGAGTACCGGAACCGCCACGTCTTCCCACACTCGTCCTCGAAGCTCAGTAGCAAGCCTTTCTCGGCGCCGCCGCCGCCGGGTTCTTGGCCGGTCAGCGGGAAGTATTTCTCGGCGTGCTGTTTGGGGATGACGAGGCGGTTCAGCTTCCCCACGTCGCTGGGAGTCAATGGCTTCTCGAACAAGTGCTCTTTGGGTATTATCGTCATTTCCTGCTGTTCTTCCTGGCTTTGTTGTTCCTCGGACTCTTCCTCCTCGTCTTCATTCTTGTTGTTCAGGTTAAAACTATAACCCGTGTTTTGCGCCGAAAAAATCGCGGCGGAGGAGGAGGCCGTTGTGGCGAGGTTACAGGAAGTGTCGTTAGACGGCGGCACCGTTAAATGGTGTTGTTTAGTCAACCAGAATCCTTCCGTAGTGAAATGGTTGACAGACATTATTTCTCAGAGCTCGCGGCGGCGATGGTTTAGAAGTTTTGACGTCGTCGAAGCTGCGGTGGCGAATTGAAGAATTGGAAATAGCAGAGAAGTTTGACTAATAGAGAGTATGGAGTATGGGGGTATGTTGGTGAAAGAAGTACGAGAGTAGTTGTCTTTTAAGGTATTTTGCGTGACGGGAAAATAAATCAATCATTATATTCACTGCATTTCACTGTATCGCTGTCTTATTAGTATTCACTTTAAACTGATATGATATTTCCAACCAAAATTATATTTTTGAATAATCCTTCCTATCCGTGGACAAAGGATCAAAAGAAAGTAAATCAATCAAAATCCGTAATTTATTGGGGTGACGAGGAAAATATGCCGCCACTACTTGAGAGTGTACAGGGGTAAACTAACACAGCCTTGAATTATGACCCTAGCCAACAAAGGATTACAAGAAAGTAAATCAGCCTAAGTTGTTCATAACTAACTGACTCAAACCAAGATGACTGAAATTCAAACTCGTAATCTTGTGATTATAAGTTTATATTTTTAGTCATTTTGATTGGGTTACCATGTGAGTAAAATAGGCGAAATTTATGAGTGTGAAAGTATATTTAGTATTCACACGGAGAGAGAGAGATATGAAGAGTGTAGTGTGGGAGTGTGGGTAAGCAAAAAATGTACAGGCCATGTTAGTGTGACGCTGGCGTTCTTTGGGCTGACCTACCAGTGAGAGCAGTAGGCAGTAACAGTACGTAGATTGGTTGTGGGGTCCAGCCAGCTGATACAATTCACATCCAACGGCTGTGCAAGGACAGACAACCCCTGATGCTGTGCTCTCAATCTCTCCATGTTTTCTAGCTTTCAATTCATTCTTTCTTTCTTTCTTTCTCATGTAAAACTTGTAACTTGTGTAAATACTACCAGGCCAGTAGTATTAATGTATTATAAATTAAAGCCTTAACTTCCAATTTCTAACACCTCCAAATCTTACTTTCTACTGCACAATACTTGACCTCCCATTACTGTAGGTACCCATGTATGTACAACACTGCCCAAATACTTCTATCCAATAATACACTTTTTTTTTTTTAATTTATAAATGAAGACCGCATCGTGATCATGATCGATAAAGGACCATAAGAAAGTAAACCAGTTTAGGCTGTTACCGAAGGTGCCCACTGGGAGAAGTTCTATTCGCCTTGCGTCCCTAACCGACAAATAACGACTACAATGAAGTATAAAGACACACATACTTTCTCATTTGATCCGTTTATATATATATATATATATATATATATATATATATATATATATATATATATATATATATATATATATTTATTTATTTATTTATTTATTTATTTATTTATATTTACTTTATATCACCTTCTACATGTATAATGTTATAATAACAAATTGCCCGCATGGGTAGCTCAACTGGTCATAGAGGTGAAACTTTGGAATAATGACCAGGTATTGAATCTCACCAGTGGCAGTGAGGCTCTGTCGGGCCGGGGTGTGGGGCTCTTAGGGTTGAGGTACTACACGTAATAATGTATAATAAATTAAAATTTTATTACTCCGTATTTAAAAAGCAATGCTTTCACATTATACAACAGATAGGCTTGGGTGCCAACTTTCATGCAATCCATACGTGTTTGAATCATATCATACATCTCTTACGCCCAAAAAAAAAATCATTTTAAAATTGTGTTATACTATACTATAGTCTATAAGTGAAAAGCCAATCACCTTGTACTTAAATGACATGTAATGACCTCTCCTATGTGGGAGGTCATGAGATCGAGTTTCAATGAAGGTGTTATTAACTATTTGTGCTTCATTAGGTTAAGAAAATATGTTTGAACAGATACTACAATATAATAGAGTCAATAACATTCAAAAAACACTAAATTTATACAACTTGACATGATTTAATTTACGACAAAATTCACTATCTATCCTATTATGTTGCCTATCATTTTTATCTGAACTGACGGACTTTATTATAAGTAATAAAATAAAATCACTTCACTTAATTAGGAATAAACGATTAAATGGGTGAAATATAATTATATATATATATATATATATATATATATATATATATATATATATATATATATTATAATTTTTTTGTCAATATCATTTTATTTGAACATGATCTACTTTATGTGTTCGTATGAGCAGCTCAGTTGGTCACATAAGTGAAGTTTGGGAACAATAACCCATGATCAAGTTTCACCGGTGGCAATGTAGGAACAACCTCTCAAAGTGAGAGGAGCTCCTTGTGCGCAGTAAGCAAATGTCTGGCCTTTATGTTTAAGTTACAATGATTTATATCATCCCAGATGTTCTGTTGAACCGGATTGAAATTGAGATTTAACCTTTTGAGAACACCAATAATTTACTTTATGCACATGATTTTTTTTGATAATAGCTGAAATTAAGAAAGTGGGTGTCAATTTATTTTCATGATTAAAGTTCTTAATGGATAGAGTGAGGTATGAAGGAAGATGGAGTTAGGGAAAACTAGGTAAAAAAAAACGGCCTAGTTTAATTAAGTGGGATGAATATTAAATTTATTCACGTGCGTGACAGCAACATTATTGATCGATGTTGGCCGTATATTCCAATCCTTCTTTGAAATTCTTTTTATTAAAATAATTAATTAATATACAATTTGAAGATATTGAATTTGAGATAAGATATTGAATTTGTAAGTATAATTTAATTTATTGGTTACGTAAGTTGTTACATTCGTGTTCGAATTCCGTCCTCAAATTCCCATCTATCTCTGTCACATTAATCACACTTGCTGCTCTTCTCCATGTCCTTTTGTCACATACTACAAATACAATAATAATTTATTACATTAATTATTATGTTCCATCATTAATTCTATTTCTTATTCTTATCTTAAATTTTAAAAAAAAAAATGTATGGAATAGTCTGGTCAGACAATTGGCAGCTAAATTTCCAGGTAGATTCAGACACTCACGCCCTTTTCATCCCTAGCTAGCTTTCAACTTTCAAAAGGCTACAGTTCTTCTTATTTGAGTCCAAGCATGATGTTTGGAACACATTTTATTATTTTATATTATATTGTGTGGTTGTGGATTATTTTGTTTGTAAGGTTATATAGCTCCATTCAAATATCTTAGAGTATCTCAATAGAAGTTTTTAGTGGGGTTTTTGAGTACGCAAGACTTATGTGGAGGAGATAGGATGAGAATAGGGAGAGAAAAAAAATCACCCTGCAAAGTATTAGTTTTTATCATATGTGTGGGACCCACCAAAGAAAACAAGTTTTCACGCCCATCTCGTGTGAAGCGCAACACGACGTGTCCGTGCCCGTTGGGCTCGTTAATGACGCTTTTCTACTTCTTCTTTTTTTTCACCTGCAAAAACTACAATTATTGGGGATGCTCTAATATATACTTTCGTGGTTGAACTTGTCATAGATGAATTTTTTAATGTGATTTATCTCTCTTGTGTAAATCACAAATTATTACTTAAATAATAGATGATAATTTACATTGTTGGGAAAAAAAAAAAAAAAACCCTTACATGCGATTAGATTGATCTAATGGTCTTTATAGTTTTAATAATTTTTACAGTATTAATTATCCGTACAATACCCATGCCTTGATTTTCAAAAAGAAAATAAAATTTTCACCTTTTTGTTGGGGAGGAGGGGAGGGGGTGGAGGATTACAAGTAATTAATGCAATTTCTAATGTAAAAACATGTTTTGACCTCTTAGTACGGATCGTTATGCTGTACATCTGTATGCACCATGTATGGTGCATTCGGATGAAAAAACGACGTTGTTTTGACGTCCAACTTATAAAAAAAAAATCAGAATTGCATAACTACACATCCATAATTTCATAACTATACATCCAGAATTACATAACTACACATCCATAACTTCATAACTATACATCCAGAATTGCATAACTACATATCCATAACTTCATAACTACACATCCAGAATTGCATAACTATACATCCAGAATTTCATAACTAAAAATCCAGAATGAATGAACTAAAAAATGAATAACATAATGTTGTTGCTGAGAATTGAAACTGATTTTTTTAAAAGTAAAATGTGCATTTTAATGCAAAACGACATCATTTTTGTATCCATATGACCGTATCCACCATGCATGGTGCATACGGATACACAGCATAATTTGCCTCCAAATACAAGACTACAAGTAAACACGAAACACACTACGTCCTTTTTAGTTTTTAATATACATGCTAGACCCCGGCCCACGTCCTCATCCACCTTTTACTTTTTTTTTTTTTTTTTTTTTTTTTTTTTTTTTTTTTTAAGTTGAATCCTCATATAATTTCGTTTGGTTGGAAGAAATGAATTAGAAATGAAATAAATTATAATTCCGTGATGAAAGAATAAGGTGAAAATAAAATATAAATTCAAATTTTATTGTTTGATCGATATAAATATAATATATAAATAGGAATTGACAGAGAAACCCGCACGGGATTAACTCAATGGTTCAGTGTGTAGTATTTGGGAGAAGAGACCAATGTTCGAACTTCGGCGGCGATCGTATGAAAATTATGTTAAAAATGAGTAGATTCCTTGTGCGCACCGGCATTTAGCCCTGACCGTGTCTGTAATAAATGAATGAAAAATGAAGCATTCATGTTTGTCTTTGTGGTTAGTTGGACAAAAATGAAGCGTATTTGTTCAGAGACAATTTGGATTCTGCGAAATTAACCATTAACTTGGGGAAAAAAAAGGGGATGAAGGGCGATAGGCGGTGGACAGTTGTGGTGGTGACGGCTGGTTGGCAGTGTTGGGTTAAAAATATTAACATACATATCACGTAATGCTAGCAAACCGTTTTTTTTTTTTATTTTTTTTTTATTTTTTATTTATAATCTTATCTTCATCAGACTAATTATAAACTCATAAGACTCCACTCTTAAAAGTACTGCAAAGATAAATAGCGAGTCGCATAATCAGTTCACCGACCAGACCATAGCAAAACCAACTTTTAATGAGTTATTTGTTAGTAAAAAAAATTAATTATAATTTTTTAAAAAATTCAATAATATACTTTTTGTAAAAAGTCATATTTTATAGAAAATTGTTCAATAAACCATTAAAACTATACACAAAAATTAATTAGGTCATCCCATTACAAAAAGTGTAATTGAATTCTCAAAC